GTGATACAGTAAACAAATACTTAAATGCTTTGATGAAATGGACATAAAGAAGGCCGATAATTAAATAATTGCGTAATGTTTGTAAAAGTGATTAAGAGGTCCTCGGGCATAAACACTCTGCCCCTTTGGTGTCCGACAGGTGTCACTCAGTAATTAAGTTCGGAATTAGAAATAACACATGAGAAATACTTGTAGAAATGCAAACTTTGAATTATAATATAAAATTTAAATATAAAACAAAAATTTAATATAACATTTAGAGTTCAAAATGAATAATAAGAAAAACAGTCATTTTCACTCGGTGATAGTTTCCCACCGCTCCGGGAAAAACACGTCCTCGTGTTTGGAATGGAAAGTCACTGCACAAATAGATGAGAGTAGAATTTATCTTGACCAGTTCTTGATAATCTGTATAAAGGTTTCGATGGTTAAAGTTTGAACGGTCCTGGAATATTGTTACGGATCGCGTTTGTCTTCAGGAATAAGGTCTGTGAATTTAGTCCAAATTAGTTGTCCATGGCTGAGGCAGCACAGTTGTTTTCCATCGTTGACGGTTGAGCTGGTTTGTCGAACGATTCTCGGGGGAACTCGCTTGCTGCTGAGGTCGGGATCTGACTACTGCAAAATATATGCAGCAGCCCCGGGCGTTGATGTTACCCTTGGGATTCTCCACCATTTATAACCACGTAGTTTGGGTCTAAAAGATGTGTCGTTGATCGGGCAAGAGGGAATGTTGGCAGGGGAAGTGAGTGGCGTCGTTGGCCGGAAGTAGTAGAGCCGTATTCCAAGGACTCTTCCCGATGACACATATGAAAGGTCCAAAGTAACGAGGAATAAGTATGGTTTCCGAATTTATTATAAAGTCCCAACGATGGAAATGACTAACATGGAACAACAATTAACAATAACCAGTTGGATATGGCCATAGCCTCCAAACTGTTAAAAGTAGAAATAGTTACAGCATGATGGGGGAACGAGTCGGACTTGTGGCCGGTAGTACACCCGGCCTCCGAACTGTTTAAGTAAAATTTGACAATTGTATTTATGGGAAAATGAACAATGAGTTAAAAGTGACAGGTGTTGACAATGAGTTAAAGTGATACAGTAAACAAATACTTAAATGCTTTGATGAAATGGACATAAAGAAGGCCGATAATTAAATAATTGCGTAATGTTTGTAAAAGTGATTAAGAGGTCCTCGGGCATAAACACTCTGCCCCTTTGGTGTCCGACAGGTGTCACTCAGTAATTAAGTTCGGAATTAGAAATAACACATGAGAAATACTTGTAGAAATGCAAACTTTGAATTATAATATAAAATTTAAATATAAAACAAAAATTTAATATAACATTTAGAGTTCAAAATGAATAATAAGAAAAACAGTCATTTTCACTCGGTGATATATGAACCAAAAGCCACCAAAACATTTTCCATATCGATCTGTCTTAATCTGGGAAAGGATTATCACTGCAAGATTCTCCCCCGCATTTTATCCCCTCCCCCAATACTTGATTACATGTACAACCCTGAAATCCCCAACAATAAATTTCTAATCTGCGTTACATATCCAGCGAATCTTTATTGACTTTGTTCTGCCTACTTCTTACATTACTGAGGCATATCTAAATTTCCCATCATCAGTAGCTTTAGCAGTACATGTATTGTCTTAACGTCTTAACTGATATTATTTCAAACGTGTACTTTCATATTTAATGGGGAAAGTTGTTCAAAAAAAGATAAAGCAATAAATGAAGAACTTTAAAGATAGAAAAAAATGGATTTTAACTTTTAATGACTAATTTTCAGGACACATAGCCTTGTAACTCAAGATACACCCTTATACCAAACCAAAAATTTGCCCAATATCTGCAAGCTTTTGGGAAAAAAATGCGGACCCCCCCCCCTCCCCCCAAGTCAATTTAGCACAAAGTGAAAAAAAAATATCATTCAAGACAATAACAGGAATAATCAGCCTGTCCTAGTAATTTAAAAAATAAAAAGACAATACCTAAATGGTTTCTGACAATTTTGGCCTAACTTAACAAAAATATAAAATAGGGTATTTTTGTTGCAGTTTCGGTTATCTGCGCATGCCTAAGGGAATGAACTCGTAACCCTACGGCTAGAGGTGAAACCTGCGTCATTATTTGCTAAACGCATAAAATGTGTAAAAGTTCTCATCTTAGTAGAGGCCGGCTATAAAAATAATTCATTTGTTGATGATAACTATCATTTTGACCGTTACTGAATGGAATGTTCCACTGAGTACCTGGGTTCAGTGCACAAACATAATCATGGCTATTTCTACCAGCTAACCTGCATGTGTAGACGACATTGTGTTCCACACACAAACTAGACTACGTGCAGCAAGGTAGGTAGACGAACTAGCGAAGTGATTTTGTTTGTTTTTCTGTTCAATTTTAATTAAGTCATAAGTTGTAAAGTATTTTTTCTTGGAAATTGGAAATCTGAAACTGAGCTCTGCGTGGGAATTCCATATAGACTTTCATTTTCAGTCGAAGATTCTCTTCCAGCAGAGTAATAAAGTATTAATATTTATCTCATAATTTATGATGAAATTTAGATGAATTCATTATTTTTATATCAGAACGATTGATTATACAAATACGATATATATGCTTAAATTATTGGTATGAGCAGCTGGAGAGAGAGAGAGAGAGAGAGAGAGAGAGAGAGAGAGAGAGAGGGCTATACAGTATCAATAATATATTGTATAAATTAAAGAAAACGTCAACATCATTAGAAATAGTTGATATTAACCAATTTAAGGTTGAGTTATAATATTATTATGCCCTCATCTTCAATATCTTTTAATCTAAAAGACTTATAGTGCAGAATCAAATGGTGTACACAGTCTTATTGTAAGAGAAGGTAGGCGCGGTGATTTAAATCCTCACAGTCGTGTGTAGAGATCCAATTACTTCGACATTCCACAACAAATGAATTTTGCTTCACGTAAACAGTTTATCCGTGTGTCTTGGCAGTTGCGCAAAGTACATGGATATGGTGGAAATTACTACAGGGAAACCATATTAACCACTTAATTAAAACGGTAACATAAATCAACTTTTAAAAAGTTGAATTCAACATGATATTTCAACTAGAACGAATTCCAGGAAAAGTAATATCGATTCAATCTGAACCACATTTTCTTCATGAAAACTGCCGGAATAGACTGGCAGTACCTGTCTCATTCGTATATCGAGGATCAGACAGGCAAGCCAGTCTACTGCCGGAAATGCAGGAATTATTTTACACCATTTGAGTTAAACGTAAATTCTCAGTTATATTCCTACAATGACGATAACAGGAAAATCCAAATGGGTTAAAACATAGTATTTTGATTCTCAAAAAGATGTGTTTTTCCATATAAAATGCAATGTCTAGACTTTACCGTCCATTTAAATACCAGTAATGCACGATCACAAAACAGATAACATTACTTGATTTTTTTTTAAATAAAAAAATCCACTCAAATTTGACGAGATGGTTAGTTTTTGGCAATATTCAGTTTTGAATTTAAATTACGTTAGTAAAATTTACAGATGTGGTTTTATTATTCAGGTAATAACGTACAAAGAAGGAGGAAAGATTTCTTTTCTTTGGAACGTTTCGACATCACAAAAATATTGATTTTTGGTTACTGAGACCAGGAGACAGTCTACTTCAGCCAGTCGAAGGCAGGTAAAAAAACCTGAAAATAATCCAGGTGTAAAATTGATTGATCTTCATAGCAGACCAGTTCTTTATTCGTGAGACAAACATCTCTTAATTTGGGCTTTCAGTTCAGTTTCATCAGACATAAAAAACCAGATATGTATCTAGTTTCATCACTCAAAAAGTTCAAAACCCAAATTTTGGTAAATAAAGTACAGCAGCATTGTAGAAACTAGACAGGTGTACCGTGTACTGTACATAAAAGCAAAATGAGAAAAGGGGAATGAAGAAACCAAGGAGGACAGACAGCTCTTTAATTTTTCAGTTTAATTTTTTAACGGGTGAACAATACCGGGTGTATTAATTCTACTCAAAGAATGTATCGTTTTAATGTCCAAAACCGACGTCTATTAATATACCGAGAAATCAAATTAAAAAAATCTACATATTTTTTCTCCCATCCCCTATTGTACATGTAGTTTCTAAATTTCAATTTTTTTACTTCCACGTACCGTAATAACCAATTAGGCATTGATTTAGATTAGTTTGATTAATAAAGCAGGAGTACGTTGTTTTCATCGATTTCTCATAGACGTAAGCTCACACCCTCATTTTCTGTATGAACTTATCAATTTATGTTTCAAGTGCTCATATATATATGGCAACTCAAAACGGTTAAATTCAATATTCTCATTTATAATAAAAGCAATGAAACTGTCTTAGGTTTATTATCTAATGATAAGCCCGCAGAACATTAATTGGCAAAATTGGAAATATACAGCTTACGTCATTTCTATCTGTTACAATCAAAACATTTTAGGTGATAGACAATGAAATGGGCGGATACAATTTGATGCGGACGTGGGGAAAACATCGGATTGAAATTGCAGATCGAAATTCATTTTCAATCCACCTGAGCTGTTTCCAATCTTGTTCCAATCTGGTTAAATCTTTTTTTATCGTCTGGTAAAATTCTGAGAGAAAATTCTTAGCAAAGATTTTATTTAGACCATTTCTTGCTAGAGAAACAGAATTTTGAAATATCTAGTAAAATTATTGCTTTATTTAAAAGGACTTCTGTTCCAGAAACCGCATTTTATCCCCCCCCCCCCCCAGAAAGCTGCTGCGGATCTTGAATCTCGAATTTTGAATCTTGAAATTTAAACTTCAAATTCAAAACTCGTTTCTCAGATGAGTCCTCTGGACCTCAATCTGATTAAATCAGATCTGTGTTACGCTCCGAAATTCTGATGGTTGCTGTACAGAGCGACCATCAGAATTTCGGAGCGAAACAAAGATCTGATTTTAATCAGTGTCTGGACCTCCGTGTGTTTCTGCTTTTTCCATTTGAAAATATCAAATATTGCAGTTAAAGAATTTCATTTATCAAATACAAGACTTCATCATATTCCCGAGAAATTTGCTACCTTGGGGAAATCCATGTCCCAAGGACATGTATATTGTTGATTCTGTGTTTTTGTTTCATTTACACATGTATGATTTTACATGTTATTTATGAATCTTTATGTTTGGCTGTTTGAGCACTTATATTTTTGTGTGATTTTCTTTTCAGGAGCATGACTCGATTCAAAAAGCCCTGTATGTTAATCTTGGTAGGCTTCAGCCTTGGTTGGATATTGACGTACATATTTTACAAAAACGCACTGGATATGGCGAATATAACTATTTCGAAGTTGCAACTAATACGCAACACATCCGTTTATAATAATTTAACTACTAGTACCTTAAAAAATAATGTGCCAACATTAAGTCATCTGATTAAAAAACAATTGATTGTGAGTACTGTTTCAACCACCAAACGAAACGTTGGACTAATTAGTGACAAAGAGGCGGGAATAGTGTACAGTAGAAGTCAAACAAAATGGGAAGTACAGTCCAGTATGTGTAAAAGGAATACTAGTGGTTTTTATCGAGCAACATTGCGAGTCCCTCCTGGCTCGACTACGATATATATTTATGATCCAAAAATTGACATATGGGTGAGTGGTAATGTGGTTAAATACGGCAGCTGGGAAGGAAATAATATAAATTTAATTATAGATTTGTTAATACGTGAACCAGACATCCAATTCGTTGACATTGGTGCCAACGTAGGCGTGTTCACTCTCGCGGCGGCGCTAGCGGGAAGGCGTGTGATAGCAGTGGACGCCCTCGACATGAACGTTCAGAGGCTGTGCTCTTCTGTGATGGAAGGTAATTTCAGTAGTAGGGTTAAACTCGTATACAACGCCCTTTCGGACGTACACGAAACCGTTTCGCTTGGAAAAGATAAAAACAATGTAGGAGGGACATTTGTAGCAAAGAATAAAAATTCAAATAAAGTGAGAGGCAGTCAAGTTGTGGGAAATTACGGTACTGTTCAAGCAATCAAACTGGATGATATTTTGTCTCTGCCAAATTTTGACTTTAAGAAAGTTATAATGAAAATTGACGTTGAGGGCTATGAAAATAAAGTTTTCAAAGGAGGTGAAGAATTTTTTAATAAAGTGGATGTACAGGCAATATTAATGGAGTGGCTTTGGCTCAGAACAGGAAGTGCTGGTGAAGAAATCATAAACTTCATGTTAAAGAAAAACATGGAACCCCACATACCTAATAGGATGCCATCACCACTTCCGATTCACGACCGTGCGAAATGGCCCGCAGATATTTTATGGAGGAAAAAGACTAATAAAAAAATGATTTAACATATATGTCCTTTAAAAAATAATAATTAAGTTTATCTGATTCACTCAGACGACCTATCGCTATATCTGTTTTCGTTCGTATTTGATCCATCGCCCGCTATCATTGGAAAATATTCTGCTTCTTCTGTTGGAATCCCCATGGGCACCAGTTGCGCCGCATTTTAATAGACACATGAAGCAGAACTTAAACAAAAAATATATGAGAGGAAAACACTTACTGTATCCTTGAACTAGACATGTAGATATATCGACGACGTATTATTTATAGCAATAGTTATTTCCATTCTGTTCACATGTCGACACGATTTATTCCAGAGAGGTTGAAATAGAAGATACCACAGAGTCTCGACATATCTGTTCCATATTTGGATATTTTATTAGAAAAATACTTTAATGGTTAGCTTCATGATAAGCGTGATGACTTAGTCTTTTCAATCGTCAACTTCGCTTAAATACCCTTATCACCTGCGTAAGAGGTTTATAATTCTCTCAGTTGATTCGATGCGCAAGAGCATGATTTACGTACAAAAAATTTCTAAAAAGAGACAAGCTGTTGACCAACAGGTTGATGAAAAAATATAAGCAGTATCGTTTAAAGTCATCATTTTGCAAGTTTTATTGTCGAGATATTAGCATAATGACCTTGACAGTAAATACAATCCATCTTTAAGTCAAATGCTGACTGACATAGTAATTATGCTATTATATTTCAAAACTGAATTGTCAACAAATTTTCCCGTTATTTCCCGATCATGACAAAGAGCACACGACGGATGTGACCGGGCGGTAGGGGATGCTCACTCTTCCATGGCACCTGGTCTTACCTCTGATGTGTATGAAGTCCGTGTTTGTTCTGCACTTGATGTGTACTATTTAGATAGTCTTTTGAGCTTGATTTCCATTCGTTATCTACTTATAATTCATTCAAATCTTGACCTCCTAAGGGTAGGGTGGGGTCATTATATGTTGTAAAAGTTTTAAATAAGATACCTGGTATATAGGAAGAAGAAGCTGTTGGTGAAGAAAAGAGCCATTAGCTAATCAAGTGAGCGTGATTGTCCATCGGCCTCTTGCTGTATTGTGTGAATGTTCCAAAACAATGTGAATGGAGCTGATAGAGGCCAATGCTTCCTCCGATGTATTAAATTGCTCTCATCTACATGTATCACACCTGGTGATTGATATATTTTGGCGGCACAGATACAGATTGTTTAGAAAGTAAGAAGATTTCTATAATTAAAAAACAACAAACTTTTTTTTTTTTAAAAGTAATATACATGCGCCTCGGGAAATAGATTTGCTCTCAGGGGAACCGGAATCTTGCTGACTCCCTTGAAATGATATACCAGGGGTACTTGACTAATTCAGTGGCGGATCCAGAAATCTTGAAAAGGTGGGGGGGGGGGGGGTTCAGGGTAGGGGTCCTCAGCCACACCAATAAGACCCTTGATTTTTCAAATTGTATGTATTTGTCGAACGCAAAAGGGGTGCCTGGGCCCCCTCTAAATCTTCCAGTGTAATTATACCGATATACAAATATAGACTATTTTCAAACCCCGTAAATGCAATTATATTTTATTCACATTGTAATATAAAGACGTGCAATAAAAATACTGATTACTCAAAATGTAGTGAAAAAGACAGATTCAATATTTTTTTTAATGATTTGAATCAATTGTAAATTTGATACAATGTATGTGCAAGCAATTTTGATTTACATGCATGATAAAGTAACGTGAATCATCTATCTCTCAGTACATCTCGGTAGTTTTAATATGATAATAATCATTGGTTGCTCCGAATAGGTGTGTATTAGTTCATCAAAATGATTTTGTAGGGAATCGGTCTTTTTACGGTGATTTACAGGAAATCGACAAAATATATCAATTTACTTTTATATGGTGAAAAATCAACAGAGGTATAATAAAGGTTGGTTACTAATTTAGTGGATATTATCTAAATAAACTAATTTAAAAGCCATGCAGCTCATCCAGATAAAGGCCTAGATCGTTAGGAAATATAACATATTTGGAAAAACATGCTATTATTTCCGCACGTTTCCTATTTCGCCTTGAAAAGTAACTGCATAATTTCTACAAATGAAAAGGAAAGCTGTTCAATCATCGAAGCACTGTGACAAGCATAGGGTGACAGCTTTTTCTTATTGTTAAATGAATCTTATTGTTATACCTTTAAAAATTTGCTCCTATACAAATCTATACGAAAAAAAGTCTAACATTTTTAATGTTTTGCTGAGCGGGCATAAAAAAATCGACGTTGGACCGCTCGGAGAGATGTTGGACCGCGCTTACGTCATAGAATGGGCGGAGCTTAATCTCATTTTCATTCGTTGGTGTTAAACAGTGACAGACCTGATGTTACATCACGGAATACAGTACAAAATACATATATGTCAAAAAAAAAAAAAAATAAAATGAAAGGTATAACAAAACATTTATTGACAGAGTTCTCGGGCAAAATGCGTTTTGTCGGACCCTCGAACCAAACTGTCTGCCCTCGGTCTAACGGCCTCTGGCAGACAGTTTGGTTCTTGGGTCCGACAAAACGCATGTTGCCCTCAAACTCAGCCAATAAATGTAATGTTAACCTGTTCTGCACAGATGTAGAATATGCATTATAAGAGACATACCGGTAACTATATTTTTCTGAAAGTCGGTGATCTCTATCTTGTCATGAGTCAGAACAAACATGACACCATTGGCGGATTTAGAGGGGGCAGGGGACCCGCCCCCTTTTGTGTCCAAAATGTACATAAGATTTAACTAGAACTGTCCAAAAGGGACAAAATACCCCCGCTGGGTTTTTCAGAGGTGCCAAATCATGAATATTTTATGGATCTAAGAGAAAAGAGAAATGCTAAAACATTTTTGGTGCAAATTATATGTAATTGCTTATATTTTTAATTAATGAAACAAAGGTGCAGCCGTATAAAGAAACAAAGACTAAATAATAGTATATATACAGATCAGACACGAATTATGAACTTTTTCTGTCAGTGACCTTGAACTTGCATCAATGACCTTGGTTCAAAGTCATGACGCAACCTCAGGTCAATGGGAACTCACCACATTTATCTATAAGGCAGATATAGACCAGACATGAATTATGAATTTTTTTGATCTATGTCCTTGTCAAAGTCATGACACACCCTCAGGTCAAAGGCAATCTTTGTATAAATGAGGAACCCTCCAAGTTTATCCATAAGAAAGATATGGACCAGGCACAAATTATGAACTTTTGCCTTTCAGTGACCTTAAACTTGCACAAATTACCTTTAGACAAGTTCGTGAGACACCCTCAAGACATAAGCAATCTTTGTGTAAAACAGGAACTTACCAAGTTTTTCCATAAGAAAGATATATACCAAACACGGATTATGAACTTTTTCTTTCAATGACCTTGAACTTGCACAGATGACCCTTGCATCAAGGTCATGACACACCCTTAGGTCATGAGGAATCTTTGTGTGAAATGGGAATATACCAAGTTTATCCATAAGCAAGATATGGACCGTACACGATTTTATGAAATTTTTCTTTCAATGACCTTGAACTTAAATGACCTTGGCTCAAGGTCATAACACACCCTCAGGTCATAAGCCATCTTTGTGTGAAGTAGTAGATTGAAGTTTTTCCATAATAAAGATATGTACCAAACATGAATTATAAAAATTTTCTTCCAGTGATCTTGAACTTCCCCAAATGACCTTGGATCAAGGTCACGACATACCCTTAGGTCATGAGCAATCTCTGTGTGAAATAGGAAGTTACCAAGTTTATCCATAAGAAAGAAAGATATGGACCGGACACGAATTGTGACATTTTTCTTCCAGTGACCTTGAACTTCCCCAAATGACCTTGGGTCAAGGTCATAACACACCCTTAGTTCACACATCTTTGTGTGAAGTAGTAGATTCTAATGTTTCCTCCGTAGGAAAGATATGGACCGGGCACGTTTGCACAGACAGCTAGACAGACAACTAGATTCACAGACGGACAAGCTGATTCCTATATAACCCCAAACTTCGTTTGAAAGGGGGGGGGTATAATAAATCAATATGTTTGGTGTCGGCCCCTACCCCAACCCCGACATTCACTGTTTGGTTTTGATAGAGATGAAAGCTGAAGAAAGACATACGTTTTTCTTTGCAAAATCTTAGCCTCGGGGAATGGGTTGAGTAAACTTGAATCCACCATTGAATTATATATTTATGAAGTTTGAAAGTTTACTGTTTTCTGAATCATCATATACCTAAGAGGAAAAGTTTTGGATGAAATGTGCATATATAAAATTTTCTTCGTAAAAACCAGTATGCAATTTTTTAACCTATGAACAATTTTTGAAATTATAAAATCTATAAAACAAAAAAAAAATTGCATATTTAAAAAAATGCATCTGCTTAATTCTGTACTTTCAGTTACTTGACCATGCAGCACCTAAAAAGCTTGACGCGATGCATTATTCCACGTACGTGCATATATCTCTATTTTTAAGTTACAGTACTACTAGTACTGTAACTTAAAAATAGAGATATATGCAATTTTAGAGTTTTCTGGTGTTTTGTAAATTGAAATCGTGGTTTGTTATCACGAACCCGGACTATCTTACTCGACAAATATTACTTCTTTAAATAGGTAGAGAAATTCCAAATGTTCTGGTAAAACATGAAACTATCTTTCTTCGTTGATGTTTTAACTCTTGTAGACACAAGTAAATGCTAGCTGGAACGTGCGTGGGTTTAAATACAAGACCTAGGATATAGTGGTTAGTAGAGGGTAATGCATTGTCCACGAGGGTGAATGTTGTTGTCCATAGCCGAATCATTTAAATGGGTAAAATTAAGACAATGCATCATGGTTTGGATACATCAACCACTGGCATGACTTGGAAAGGCGCTAAACCTTTTGGATAAAACATCTGGTATTATAAAATACTGGCCCCCGTTTTATTTACACCGAATTCAAAGAAAACTGTCAACCGAGGCGCAGCCCAAGAAAGTTATTGTCAGCCAAGGCGCATATAGCAACCTCGGTTGACAATTGTTTTCTTGGGGAGAAAATTTTCAATGTTACACTCAACTATACATGCAATACTTATTGAATTATACTGAATTTATTATTCAAATACATTTAAAAGTAAACCTTGCGATGAATTCTGCGTAGTCACTGTATATTTTTTTGGGAAAATCGCCCTTTGTCAAGCAATGATGGCTGTTACTACGCTCGAGGGCGTGGCTTCATCATTCAGCGGGTAAAAGTACATGTTTTTAAGCAAATGTTTCTCCACTGATCAGACACATGTAAAACTAATTTAAATGAAAGTAGGAGAAAGTATATACCAGATGTTCACTAGGACATTCAACGAGCGTTTGATCAATGAAGAGCATGTTATATGTATATGATGGCGTGGTGGATTGGACAGGCATCGAATGTCAGCAACACTTTTTTTTTTTACACATATTTGATCGAAGCAGCAATCATAACCCTACAATTTGGACCTGTTGAAGATTGAAGTATATTAATTAATACGAACTTATTTCAAGTTATTTGAAAATGGGTTTTAACTTTCTATTTATGTGTTTATTTCAGGAAGGTCAAGTTTTTCACCTATTATAGACTTAGAACAAGAAGTGTTGAATATTTACATTGGTTATATTAACTCAAGAAAGACCTCATTTAATCTGTAAATTTGATGAGACAGTTTAATACATAATGTACACTAATTTTATTTACCAAAGCTGTTTTACCGGGCAAACAGAAACCACGTGGTCGGTTATCGTTTGAGATAACGGACCTTGTAATAAATTTTTACGTACACGTGTCTTTGTCCGAGACGATTTTTTTCTTTTAATTCTGATTGATAGAGCTGGAAGAATCAAATGATTTTGTGATATTGTTTGATTTGAAATTTGGATACTCATTTTGTCAAAAATGGTTTTACATTCATAAGGAAAGGTCAGTCATTTTCTTGTGTTAAGATTAAAAACCTACACGTGGTACGCGCCTTAGTTGCCGAGCACTTGAGGGTCGAAATCAATATCTCGTATCAGAATAAATCTTAATGAATTTCTAATCCTTATTTTACAGGTAGCAGCCACGATGAAGTTCAATCTAGCCGTCAAAGTTGGCTGCTTGGCGTTTGGTTGCTTCGTCGTAGGATGGTTCATTGCGAGTCTACAATGTGTCCATAATCCAAATCTGTCTCCAGTGGTGGATGATAGTGTCAAGTTCTGGAGTAATCCAAAAACTACAAAAGCACTACAAAAAGACCCCATGCCATCTGATTGCTTTATATATCAAAGAGGTGAAAAGGATTGGAAGCCTAGTAACATAACATGTGACGATACATCTAAGTTTATGAGAACTTCATTACATACAAGTTCTGGGGACACGCCCATTTTTATCTATGATCCTCTAACAGATAAATGGGTCAGCGGAAGTTTATATCGAGATGGCAGATGGGAACCCCAGTTTGTTGATATAATTTCAAACATTATAAGAGAAGATAAGGATCTTCATTTTATAGATCTTGGGACAAACTTAGGTGTTTTTGCCTTATCTGTCGCTAAAATGAACAGACAAGTAGTTGCAGTGGACGCACTTGCAATGAATGTCGAGCGATTGTGTGCTTCCATAAAAGCAGGGAATTTTACTAAAAATATTAAAGTAGTATATAACGCCTTATCAGACGTTAGAGAAATGGTGTCGCTTGGCGAAGATAAAGGCAATGTCGGTGGGACCTTTGTAGCTAAGGATAAAAATCAAAATAAAGTCAAAGGTAGTGAAGTTGGTGGAAATTACGGCTCTGTCCAAACTGCCAAACTTGACGACATTTTAGAGCTTCCAGGATTTAAAGCCAAAAAAGCTGTGATCAAAATTGATGTGGAAGGATATGAAAATAGAGTGTTCAGGGGTGGGGAGGAATTTTTCAAACGAGTGAATGTGACAGCAGTGCTTATGGAATGGTTGTGGCTCAAAACTGGTCCAGAAGGCCAAGAAATAGTAGAATTTTTTAAACGCCATAATTTTGAAGCCACTGTACCAACAGATAGACGCGTTTTACCCATTGACCAGAGAGGTCAGTGGCCAAACGATGTTTTATGGCGTAAAAAAGTTTGATGTTTATTTTATTTTAGTATAAAAATTAGGCAAGGAGAGGGTATATATGAGATGAGTATTAAAATATTTTTTTTTACAAATGTTTTTCTTTTCATCTATTGTGTTTGGATTTGTGGATTGGGGGTCCATATCAACTGAAGAGTGTCGAAACTAATATCAAAACAGTCGAGGAAAAATAAGCAACCTTAAATAATGTTCACAGTCCGTCCACATTATGCAAACAGAACGAAATAACAATCACCCACTCAGTGAATTGAGATAATATGCTACGGATTACGAAAGATAAAATACGTGTGAGAGTCGAATAACTTCAATGATTGGCCTACATTTCGATGTTTGTCACATAATATTGAAGATATAAATCTTATGGAGAATTTTCTGTCATATATATTGTATTAAAAAATTGATGAAATTTTCCTGATCCGAGCAGACAATATTACAACATAAGAATTGTTAAACCGCAACGTCACTGCTACGTCACAAGTGATTAATCATCGTTCAATATCGGCGGCACAGAAATAGCCGAAGTTAAGACCTGCAAGAGTTGTCACCCCTACTAATGTTATTGTGATTTAAATTCAAGACACGTGGGTTAGGTTGACCCATTCAAAGGTTATAGAATGGAACCGGTTTTATAAATAAAATTGGCAGTAAATAGGAAATTGGTATAGTCTGTTTTGAATACCGTCTGTTTCTTGTGAAAAGATGTCCTATGAAAAATGTGTTTCCAGACCTTTTTGAAGGACTTTCATGATTTTCAATAGAAAATGGTGGCTAAAAGAGGGGGGGGGGGTTAAAATAACAATATATCTTATCATAATTTACTGCGAAAATTAGAGCACACTTGCGACCGATACGTTGGTAAAATGTGTAATATCATCTACACAGACAAACCTTTGTTTGCCTTATATGGTTATTGTTATTAATACGCACAGAGGCTCGTACCACGAGCAACTGACCAATCGTTAAATAGCAACGTTTACGCCAAATACATGTTTACATTTTACTTCGAACACGTGGTTCAGGTCAAGCTATGATTATGTCAATGGGGTGGAAAATTTAAAAAAATATTATGAACAAAATCTTTATAAAGATGTCACGATATAAATATTTAATGAAATGTACTTTGTCAAGTTAAGAACAACACATCATTTTAAATGGACAACAAAAAAACTATATGTGGTTATTTCAATAGTACAACAAAAGAATTAATAGAGACGCAAATCGCTTTCAATTGCAACATGACTTTGAAAAACCTCGACTTCCACCGTTTATTCAACAAATGAATTGTTTGTCATTGTGAGCATGAAAATAATACAATTTTTAAAAGATGCTCTTTATTTATGAAATGGATGGAAAAATGGTCTTTGTGCCTTTCCGATCGCCATACGATTTTCCCTTTCTTTCACTAAAATTCTCGGTCTTCACATTTTAGTGCCCCTTTGCTAACACCATTACTATGACCAGAAATTGTATCATAGAGAATACTTAGTTAAGTTTGAATGAATTCAAGAGAGATCAATTGAAGTACATTTCTACAGAAATTATAGGGTGGTGAAAACTGAAACGCAACATAACTCTTCTGTTTACTATGTCTCCACGTGCAAGTCACTTCCTAGCCACATTTCCGTGAATAATTTACCCTATCTCGCTGTAGTCTCGCTAACTCTCGCTAGAGCAACCGCCAGAGCTACTCTGAACTCATCGGGTTTTATAATGTGCAGAATACCGAAAAAAAAAAGGTTCCGAACACATTAGCAGGGGTGGTTGTTACTGGACTTTTACGAGAAGCGCTGACTTTTACAGTTGACGACTTACTTTTACACTAGGACAGTGTACGGAAACTCTTTTACGATATAAATATTTAGCTCAACACATCATTCAACAAAAATAATGGGTTATTTCAAAGCAAGGTAAGTAAAAGTGCCCCTAACACCATTACCATGACCACTAGAAAGGTTTCCTGGTCTATTTTCAAGTCTGTACCTCCTTAGATGACACAGGTTTAAAGTCAGCCGTAAAAGTCAGTGCTTCTCGTAAATGTCCACTACCAGCCAGGTAAGGAAGAAGTGAAGAGTCTGATTTGTTTTCAATTATTTTTGAGATATGATAAAAATGTAAATAATTTTGTTCTTTCCCAGCTATTGTTTTATATTTACTGATTAAGCCATAATATTCCATATAAAGTAATTGATAAAATAGTGTGTATTGATTAAATCTTAAGTGAGCACTGAAGGGTATATCAGAACAGTTATAGACTGGGATTCGGGCAAAATATGAATTGTTGGACCTGAAAGTGAAACTTCGTCTAATGAAGGAAAGTAAGATACCCAAGAAACTTAAAATTATAGTTGTACAGGTCAGTACAGTATACAAACAAACACAGATACATGTAACTGCAATAAAATGTAAACAAAACCAACACAAGATAACCAGCACGAACACAGGTCGCCATTCTACGCAGATACCCGTGACAATAAAGCAGTCAGGTGTGAAGAATCTGAACAGGCCTCAGGATATACTCTTCAGATTCGTCACACCTGACTGCTTTAGTGTCACGGGTATCTGCGTAGAATGGCGACCCGTGTTCGTGCTGGTTATCTTGCGTTGCTTTTGTTTACATTTTATTGCAGTTACGTGTATCTGTGTTTGTTTGTATACTGTACTGACCTGTACAACTATAATTTTAAGTTTCTTGGGTACAATGAAGTGCATTGAAGTGGTAAAATTTTCCATTTGGATGAAACGTTCTGAGTCATGTTTTGAACTTCAATTATAGCATAACGACACGCCCATTTCTTTGGAAAAGAGAAAGAAATATTCGTCGCAATGTTTTAGGACACCCCACTTTCCGCGACAAGCAACATGAGTTACACTGAAATGAAGATTTTTTAATAAGAAAGAGCTATATATAGAGTCCCCGCTTCTGTAAAACACGCATTGAAACGAATTTGTACATAATTGTGATTTTATCATGTTTATTGGAGTTAGCATTACATGTATCAGTCGAACACGTGCTTACTCGGTGTTTATGTAGACCGCCAATTTGATTGGCTATTATTTTTATGGAATACCTGTTCTACAGGTTTTCGATTGAATCATTTGACCGATTTTTCCTTTCTAAAGAAATGGGCGTGTCTAAAGATAGCTCAAAACGTTCCATCCAAACGGAAAATTTTACCACTTCAATGCGCTTCATTGTATCTTACTTTCCTGCATTAGACAAAGTTTCACCTTCAGGTCCAACAATTCATATGTTGCCTGAATCCCAGTCTATAACTGTTTTGTTATACCCTTCAGTGCTCACTTAAGATTTAATCAATACACACTATATTATCAATTACTTTATATGGAATATTATGGCTTAATCAGTAAATATAAAACAATAGCTGGGAAAGAACAAAATTATTTACATTTTTATTATATCTCAAAAATAATTGAAAACAAATCAAACTCTTCACTTCTTCCTTACCTGGCTGGTAGTAACAACTCTGGCAGGTCTTAACTTCGGCTATTTCCGTGCCCGATATTGAACGATGATTAATTACTTGTGACGTAGCAGTGACGTTGCGGTTTAACAATTCTTATGTTGGACTGGCATGCCAGTCAACAGTGAAATTGTTAGAGCGATGTAATAAATATTTCTTTTGTTGAACTTTTTATTAATAGTAATAAATATATACCGTAGAAAGCTATTTATAAGGGTATAACGATACGTTATCATTGTCGCTACCGAGTGCTGTATAGCATACGTTCGTCTACACCGGTGTCGACTGATTACACTGAAAAGAGAATAAGTCCTGTCCTTTATATAGGGGTCTGCAGGTATAGAGATTCTCCGAGCAAAAATGGCGGACACATTCCTTTAACGAATCGTGTTCAGCTTTAAGGTCAGACGAGACGTTCCTCAAAATTTGTTTTGTATATATTCATAATGTATGAAAAATATTCAAAATTTTAATAACATTCTGATTTCTAAACCAGTTTCTAAACGTTTTTAAAAAATCCAAACACTTAAATATTTGAAATTAGAAAATTATTTTTCTTCCCCAAAGGATTATGTAAGAAAAACTACCGCTGATATCTTGCAGAAATGCCTGGTAAGGTACCTCAATTTTTTGTGAGTAAACATGTTTAAGGTAGGATTCTTCTCATATTTCTAATATTTAAAAATTAATGAAATTTTCACAGAATCAAGAAGACAACATCAGTAAGTGATAGTATCAGTGAAATTAAATTTGACCGTTTTATATTAAAGGCAAGGTCAGGTCAAGGTCATTATCTTTTTCCATGACATTAAGAATAAAAAATAACTGTTGCCAATCATGTGATACCAACTTCTATTTCAAAAGTTTAATGCTTGTTCTTTTTGCATAAAAACATATTACTATATCAGGTCTATAGCACGATATTACCAAATTTACATAAATAATTTTACTTAACTGGATATTGGCTAATCCGAATTTTCTCTGTTTTTCTTAATTTTTTAGGATATATTAGTTATTTTCATATGCTTCCTATATTTAACTTTTTTTACATTCACATATAATAAAGTAGTCTTATAAATGTACAAAATGACACAAAAACAAAAAGTTTTGATCGTTTACTAAGAGAGAAAAAAATACTTTTTATGGATTTTTGGCTCAAATCTGCACTTTGATAGGAAGCGTTTAAAAGCTAACAAATTTCTAGTTTGTTTGAAAAATCATATTTATTTGATATATTTTGAAAGTTTAGTCCCTCATTATTAATTTAACTTATATTTGAAAATTTCTCCAAGTCTTTGATTGTGTAAAAATTGTACCTAAATTTATTGTCCTATTATAATTTTGAGAGGCAGAAAATAAGATTTTTTCATACGCCACCATTCCGCCAAAAATATTGTCCCTGCTAGTTTTCAAACGCAGTTTACCATTCCTATTTAAAGTTGTACAATTGTGATTAGGAAAGAAAAATATGGTCTTTTAAATTCCTTACACCGCAATATATAAGACATATAAGCAAATTTACTTTGAATGTTTCATCTAGTCAGAAACCAGAGAAGAATCCTAC